ACTCAGAAAAACTTGGAATCATCAGACATCTTAATTCTAGCCAGTCAAAGGGGTGTAAAATGGTATTTTGGTATTTTATTGGGGGGTTCTAAATTTGCATTTTTCTATTACTAGTAGGGCTGAAAATCTTTTTGTGTGTTTATGACCACTGGGGTTTCTTCTCTACTATACCTATTCATATCATTTCTTTTTTAAGTACATTTTACTGATTATGCTATTACAGTTGTTCCATTTTTTTCCTTTATACCTATCCACCAGTTACCCCAATTCAATTCCCTCTAGCAATTCCCCCCACCCCACCACTTAGTTCATGTCCATGGCTCATGTATAGAAGTTCTTTGGCTTCTCCATTTCCCATACTATTCTTAACCTCCCCCTGTTTATTTTGTATCTACCATTTACGTTTCTTATTCCCTCCCTGTAACTTTTCCCCCATTTTCCACCTTTCCCTTGCCCACTGATATCCCTCCATATGATCTCCATTTCTGTGATTCTGTTCCTATTCTAGTTGTTTGCTTAGTTTGTTTTTGATTTTGTTTTTTTTTAGGTTCAGTTGTTGATAGTTGTGAGTTTGTTATTATTTTACTATTCATAGTTTTACTCTTCTTCTCTTTCTTGGATAAGTCCCTTTAACATTTCATATAATAAGGGCTTGGTGATGATGAACTCCTTTAACTTTATCCTATTTGGGAAGCACTTTATCTGCCCTTCCATTCTAAATGATAGCTTTGCTGGAAAGAGCAATCTTGGATGTAGGTCCTTGCCTTCCATGACTTGGAATACTTCTTTCCAGCCCCTTCTTGCCTGCAAGATCTCTTTTGAGAAATCAGCTGACAGTGTGATGGGAACTCCTTTGTAGGTAACTCTCTGTTTTTCTCTTGTTGCTTTTAAGATTCTCTCCTTATCTTTAATCTTGGGTAATATAATTATGATGTATCTTAGTGTATTCCTCCTTGGGTCCAACCTTTCTGGGATTCTCTGAGCTTCCTGGATGTGTATGTCTACTTCCTTCACCAGAATGGGGAAGTTTTCTTTCATTATTTGTTCAAATAAGTTTTCAATTTCTTGCTCTTCCTCCAACACCCCTATGATTTATATATTGGAACATTTAAAGTTGTCCCAAAGGTTCCTAAGCCTCTCCTCATTTTTTTTTTTTTGAATTCTTGTTTCTTCATTCTGTTCCAGTGGAATGTTTATTTCTTCCTCTTATTCCCAATTATTGATTTGAGTCCCAGTTTCCTTCCCTTCACAGTTGGTTCCCTGTATATTTTGCTTTATTTCACTTTGCATAGCCTCTACTTCTTCCTTTGTTTTGTGGTTATACTCAATCATTTCTGTGAGCATCCTGATTACCAGTGTTTTGAACTCTGCATCTGATAGACTGGCTGTCTTCTCGTCACTTAGTTCTTTTTCTGGAGTTTTGATCTGTTCTTTCATTTGGGCCATATTTCTTTGTCTTGGTGCACCTGTTACATTGTAAGGGGTGGAGCCTTAGGTATTCCTCATGGTGGGGCAACCCTTTTTGCTGCATTTTGGCTCTGTCTGTGGGAGAAGGGTCAGAGAGTGAACAATGCTGCTTGTTTGGCTCTCATCCCACTTTCAAGAAACTGGAAGTTTCTCCCACCACCACAACCCCCACAGGTTTATACAGCCAGAATTTCTGAGGCTTTATTTTGCCCATGCTGGAACCCTGGGTTGCACAGTCTGTCTTGCTCCCCTGTTGTTCTTCCCGGTTTATCTGCACACAAAAGTGGGACCACCTGGTCCTCGATCCACCTCCTTGCTGCATGTCCTCTTGCCTCAGCTGCCCGTCTCTGCCCCTCTTACCAGCTTGAATGAATGTTTCATCTTTAACTCCTTGATTGTCAGACTTCCATGCAGTTCAATTTCCTGGCAGTTCTGGTTGTTTTTTTGTTTTTGAATTGGTTGTTCTCTTCTTTTGCTTGTGTGAGGAGGCACAGTGTGTCTACCTACACCTTCATCTTGGGTAGGACTCTATTCCTTTTTATTGATTTTAAAATTTTTCTTTTGTAATAGTTATACATATAATATAGTATATGTAACAGGTATATCTTATCAGGTGTAACAACATACAAGAACACTCCTAATATTATTTCAGTGTTACTGGTTTACAGAGGGGTTGTTTTTCATTTTTTAATAATAACTCTTGCTGGTTAGTAATTGTGTTAGTAGTTATGTTGTATAGCTTGTAGCTTTTCTTTGCCTATCTTTATGGACAGAACTGTTTGATTTAAAATAAGGAAATATTACAATGTCTTATTTTCTCATTGGCTTAGTGAGTTGTATTTGTTTTTACATTTACCAAACTGTTAATTACTTTACTCACCTTTCCTTTTTTCATCTCAGACATTCTTTCTAAAATCTTCTCTCTCTTTCCTGAAGTGGTTCTTTAGACGTTCTTTAAGGGCAAGTCTGGTAATAGTACACTCAGTTGTTACCCAAGAATGTGTTTTATGTCACCTTCACTCTTGAAAGATTGTTTAGCTAAGAATACAAATATCAATGAAAAACTATTTTCTCAAATGTTACACTCTCTTCTGCTTTCCGTAGCTGTGGTTGAGAAGTTTTGTCAGTCTAATTTTCCTTCCTCTGGAGTGATGTGTCTTATATCTGCCTGTTGTTCAGATTTTCTATTTTTCTTAGATATACTGCTGATTTACCATTCTGTTTCTAAGTGTGCCTTCTTTTTATTTCTCTTATTTGAATTACATTTTGTTTGTGGATTCTTATCTTTTATCACTTCTGAAAACATTCTTGCTTGTTCCTTTCAAATACTTCACGTCTGCCATTCTTTCTTCCTACTTTTCTGGGACTGATTGGACTTTGTGGACCTTATCTTTCCATCTTTCCTATCCCTGGTTCATTTTCTTATCTCTCGGTGTGGTGTTCTGCATAATTTTTAAAGCTTTCTCTTCCAGTTTTCTAGTTTTTTCATTAGCTTTGTAAAGATTCTGTTTTGGGATCTTTGATTAGGAGTAAATGCTTATTCTTACTTTGGAAACAAACAGAAAACCAATGAACATTGTTGAGATTGCTTTCCTTCACCAATGTGTGTATTCACTCTTGGGAACCACAGGGTCAGACCAGGTCAGGGCCATTTTCATCTCAGCCTAACCCAGGGATCTCAGGTTCAGCTCTACCCTCCCAGCCCCAGTGATAGTCACTTTCCCCCCAAAAGCAGCCCTGTCTTTCAGTAGCCTTACCACTCTTTCCTCTACTTTCAGCATTTACTTTCTTTTACACATACATATACTCATAATCTAGTCCACTAATTACTGTAATTCCAATAATGCAACAAAAACTATGTGTTATAAAGATCTAGTTGTCTCACTGTAAGAGGACCTGTCAGAGGGTGTGGTCTGCTATATAGCCAGTAGTAGAAATATCTACAGGGAGATTTTTTAAATTTATTTTTAAATCCCTCCACTCCCCTTTCCCTCTGGTAATCACAATAGTGTTGTCTGTGTCTATGAAGTCATTTTTTTTTTTTTTTTGCTTAATCCCTTTATCTTTTTCACCCAGCCCCTCTGCACTTCTGACAGCTGTCAGTCTTTTCTCTGTATCGATGAGTCTGTTTCTATTTTGTTTGTTAGGGTTTTTTTATTCATTATATTCCACATATAAGTGAAATCATCTGGTATTTGTCTTTCTCGGACTGGCTTATTTCACTTAGCATAATGTTCTCTAGGTCCATCCATGCTGTTGCAAAGGGTGAGATTTCCTCCTTTTTTACAGCTGAGTAGTATTGCATCTACAGGGAATTTCTGACTGGCCATCTTCACACCATCTTGCTAGCACCCCTCTCCATTCCCCTCTTTTCAACTCTCCTTTTTCTTTTTCCCAAACCTCCTCCTACCTCTTAACTTTCAGGTTCTCTCTACACCCCTTTCTGAAGTCTTTTCACTTTTGCACAGAGAATTTCAGCTCTCCTCAGCCTCTATATTCAATTCTGGGCATACCTCTGCAGAGTTAAACCAATCTCAGAAGAAAGGCAGGCACTATAACAGGATCTTCCTTCCTTAGAAGGCAGTTATAGTTGTATGTAGAAGTTTTTTCTCCATTTCATTATTTCCATTTACTAAGTATATATTAGGTGTCTACCTGGTTCTTGGCACTGTCCGGAATGCTAAGTTGTTGTTCAGTGTGAATTCATATCATTACGTCATGGTATATTTAAGGTGCACCTTGTATCATAAGCACTGTATTAAAAGCTCTACATGAGCAATTCTTAATATGCTCAGGAGGATTAGAATCTTTATTTCACTATACTTAAAGTATGGAAAAGATTAGGCTAAGTAATAGAATGTGTTTATTTATTTTAAAGGTGTTTTTTGGCTATCATTTCCTTTTCTAATAGTGAATCCTCTATACTATAGTTTGAAGTTAGTAGTTAGCCTTTCATACCCATATCTCTTCAGTAGAAGAAATTCATATAAGTAATTTGTGTGCATTTCTCAATGTACATAAATGCAATTCAGAAATAAAAAACCCTCTATTGTAAATAATGTCTCTCTTACTCAAGTGACCCTAATTAGAGGAATGTCTTTTTTTTATCATATACCTTTAACAGAATGATTAAAGGCAGATCTAATGTCTTGCACTTTGTAAGAATTTGTTGTGTGCCTATTTTGTACCAAGCACTGGTCTAGGCCCTGGGGGTACAGTGGGGAACAAAACATAGCCCAGTCCCTTACACTGAGGCTTACATCCCAGTGGAGAGACAGATACTCAGCCACTGACATAGAAAACACTGCAAAGTAGTGGGACATGCTAAGCGGAATAGCTGGAAGGAGAGTGGTCAGGAAGGCAAGGCCTTACTGCCCTGGATGAAGTGAGGAGTGAGCCCTACAGAAACCTGGGGAGGCATTCCAGGCAGACAGAACAGCAAGTAATGGCTTTAAGCTGGACTATGCTTAGAATATTTAAAGGTAAATTTCAATATGACACTAAACCTGTTCTTTCCACACTTCTATTTTCAGGTATCCGAGATGTTTCTAAGTGGAGTGAGAAAACAAAAAAGCCTCTAGAAACCCTATATGGGTATGAGTACTTTGCAAAAACCTGTGAAAAGTGGGTGGATGGCATAAAACAGTTTAAACATCTTCCAGATGGTAGGTTACATGAACTATTGAATGGTTCCTTTGCTGATTATAAAGGTTGCTTTAATTCCTCCCCTGATGTTCCAGAATTCCTCAGGGTTTAATGCATTTACCCACTATCCTTACACCCTGATGTATGAATAGAGAATACTAGTGCCTATATATAGTACAAGTTCTTGTGAATTAAAGCCACCTTTAACTAGAGACAGATTGTATATAGTGTAAAGGTTTATAATGTTGAGTCTTTAATAGCAGACTGTCCTTTTTTCTTCTACTCCTTTGTGTGTGATGACAAAATAATTCTCCAGAAGCCTCAAATAGTCTTTATTTTCTAATTTCAGAATGAGTAATTCAAAAACAAACAAGCTGCAATATATACCATAATTTTTTCTTTTTGCACATTTAGACAAGTTACCCTAGGACATAGAAGGAGGGACTTTCTGTCATGACCTTTAGCCCCAGCAGCATTAGTTTGAGGAAGAGAGTGTTCACTTCTTTTTCCATCTTCAGAACTAAATTATATGACTTCAGCCCTGATCAATGTCTCCCTGTGTTTATCTGAAAAATTGACATGGTGTCCAATTACAGTAAAAATTAACATCTTCAAGAAAAAATCTAAAAGTATTTTATATAAATATTTACATTTTTAATATCTCATTTTTCTTTTTTTAGTTGCTGAAAGAATATAAAGTAGCTAAAATCTAATCTTGAAGCACATTCAGTTATAAAATCATTGTGATTGAAGGATCAATTTGATGTCTTAACTAATAATTTCCAGAATGAGTCATCTGTCAAAACCTTCACAATGAACAGGACATTTGGAAAAGTTACTTTCTTGGTTTAAGTTCAAAAGAGCATATATATGCTGTTCAAACACAGTATCCACTCATAGAAATAGGTCCCTGGAATCTGTTTTCCTTGGCTTTTAAAGCAAACAAAAAAACTGCTATAAAACAATATCAGAGACAGTTCTGTATTAAAGAAGGCAACTTTGTGAAATGTAAACTTCTATGTTTTCTTGAAGAGAGTAGGGGAAAATGTCAGATTGCCAATAGATAGAAGAAGAATTAAATTAGTTAAAAAAATATGTCCTGTATTTGTTAAAATTAAAAACTTGTGCTCTGCAACAGACACCGTCAAAAGAATGAAAAGACAAGCCACAGACTGGGAGAAAATATTTATTAAAGACCCATCTGATAAAGGGCTGTTATCCAGAATACAAAGAACTCTTAAAACTGAACAATAAGAAAACAACCCAATTAAAAGATGGACCAAACAGAAATGAGATCCTACTCTTCACCTATTAGAACAGCCACAGAGAGGAATTTCAGGACAGTGAAAATGCTCTCTATGGTACTATACTAGATACGTGTCATTACACATCTGTTGAAATGCACAGAATGCACAGCACCAAGGGTGATCCCTGAGGGAAATGATGGACTTCGGGTGATGATGATACGCCATTGGGGGTTCGCTGTCTGTGAAAATGCACCACTCGGGGGTGTTGGTAGTGGGGAAGGCCACGTGTGGGGGCAGTCTCTGTACCTTCCACTCACTTTTGCTATAAACCTAAAACTCTAAAAAATAAAATCTTTTTTTAAAAAAGGGAAATAGAGTGAAAAAATGTCGTAATACAAAGAATCTAGCAGTATGTCAATCATCTTACAGCAAGATTGTTAATGAAGTACTTATCTCCTTCTGTACTAGTTAATTTGAGAGGAGCCCTTTTTTCTGGTTGCACACTCGAGTTTAAGGATGCTCAGACCTAGCACAGGGACTGACTGCACAGATTTGGAGTTAGACAGGCCTGGTGTGCATTCTGGTTTTGCCACTTGGCTTGCTGTTAGAATGGATGCAGGCAAATCACTTAGCTTCTCTAAGCTGCAACTTCCTGTGTGAGAACTAGGGATACTAATAACTACCTCATAAAGTTGTTCTGAGGACAAATTGAGTTGTTTAGGTTCAGCTTTGGTACAGTACCAAGTACAGAGTAAGTGCTTAATAAAAGTACTTGATTTATAAATAATTGTACATACTAAATGAGTTAAAACATGCACGTAACTACCATAAGTGTTTTATGGTTATTAAATCATTTGAACAGTTCCTAACATATAGTGAATACTCAGTAATGCCAGCTTTAATCATCTGAGTATACAGTTGGCAGATGCGTGTCATCTCAGGGACAGGAGGGGGTCATCTTCAGAGACCTAGAGAAGTATTACCCTGTTCTGCCTGTCACCTTCTCATTCAACCCCCCAACTGAAGAGGAGGGGGCAACTCCCCCTGGGCTGGCTCCTAGCTTTCTCAGAGCTGCCATGCTTTCTTTCTGACACAGGCAGGGGAAGGCAGGAGGGAGAAGGAGCTGGCTCTATGGAGTATCTGCTGGGTGTCAGTCGGTACTATGGCATCTCTTTTTAGCCCCTTGGCCACCCAGGGAACTATGATTTATTCCTGTTCCACCAGAGGAGAAGGTTGAAACTCAAGTGGCTAAGGAACCACTAAAACTTCACAGGTGGAAGGTAGGTGGGGAAAGGAACTTAGAAATGTTGCTATGCATGGGAGTGAATCTTCTAATCTTTCAACTGTATATGAGTCAGGAATGTCAGAGAGGTAGGAGGGATGAGGAGGAGCTGTAAAATGTAACTTCATTGTGAGGTATATGACCTTTGAGGTCTAGCTGGGACCCCAAGGACCAGTTCAGACATTATTTCGCAGGAGGAGCTTATCAGATGGCCAAGCACCTACTGTGGTTTTGCCAAATGGGAACTGCCTCTATGTCATATAAAGAGCTGTGGGTTTTTGTTTGTCTTTCTTACTGTTTTACATGAATTTTGAATTAATTTATTTTTTACGGTTAAAATACTGTATTTTATTTTTTAAATATATTTTATTGATTATGCTCTTACAGTTGTCCCTTTTCCCCCCTTCACTCCCCTCCAACCTGTGCATGCCCTCCCACCCACATTCCCCCCTCCCCTTAGTTTATGTCCATGTGTCATACTTATAAATTATTTGGCTTCTACATTTCCCATACTATTCTTACCCTCCCCCGGTCTATTTTCTACCTACCATCTATGCTACTTATTCTCTGTACCTTTTCCCCCTCTCTCCTCCTCCCACTCCCCTGTTGATAACCCTCTTTGTGATCTCCATTTCTGTGGTTCTGTTCCTGTTCTAGTTGTTTGCTTAGATTGGTTTTTTTTTCTGTTTTTGTTTTAGGTGTGGTTGTTAATAACTGTGAGATTATTGTCATTTTATTGTTCATATTTTTTATCTTCTTTTTGTTAGATAAATTCCTTTAACATTTCATATAACAGGGGGTTGGTGATGATGAACTCCTTTAACTTGACCTTATCTGGGAAGCACTTTATCTGCCTTTCCATTCTAAATGATAGCTTTGCTGGATAAAGCAATCTTGGATGTAGGTCCTTACCTTTCATGACTTGAAATACTTCTTTTTCAGCCCTTCTTGCTTGTAAGATCTCTTTTAAGAAATCAGCTGAGAGTCTTACGGGAACTCCTTTGTAGGTAACTGTCTCCTTATCTCTTGCTCCTTCTAGGATTCTCTCCTTCATTTTAATCTTGGGTAATGTAATTATGATGTATCCTGGTGTGTTCCTTCTTGGGTCCAACTTCTTTGGGACTCTCTGAGTTTCTTGGACTCCCTGGAAGTCTACTTCCTTTGCCAGATTGGGGAAGTTCTCCTTCACTATTTTTTGTTCTTCCTCTTCTCCTTCTGGTACCCCTATAATTCAGATGTTGGAACATTTAAAGATGTCCTGGAGGTTCCTAAACCTCTCCTCATTTTTTTGAATTCTTGTTTCTTCATTCTTTTCTGATTGAATGTTTCTTTCTTCCTTCTGGTCCACACCATTGATTCGAGTCCCAGTTTCCTACCCATCACTATTAATTCCCTGTACATTTTCCTTTATTTCACTTTTCATAGTCTTCACTTTTTCCTCTAATTTGTGGCCAAATTCAAACAATTCTGTGAGCATCCCAATTACCAGTGTTTTGAACTATGCATATGATAGGTTGGCTATCTCTTCATTGCTCAGTTATATTTTTTTCTGGAGCTTTGATCTATTCTTTCGTTTGGGCCATTTTTTTTGTCTTGACTCGCCTGTTACAAAGTGAGGGGTGGAGCCTTAGGTGTTCCCCCCAGGTGGCGTAACTCTGAATTGTGATGCTGTATGTGGGGAAGGATCTGAAACGAAAAAATGCTCCACTCTCTGCCGGATTTCAGTCACTTCCCCCACTTCCCACAAACCAATTGGGCCCTTCTGGTGCTGATTCCCATGTGAGTGGGTTTGTGTACATTCTAGGACCCTGTGGGTCTCTCCAATGAACTCTCCTGTGAGGCTGGGAGTTCCTCCCAGTGCCACCTCAACCCCCACCGGTATTTTCAATTGGTGGTGTGAGGCTTTATTTCCCTGTGCTGGGACCCTGGGTTGTGCAGTCTGTCCCGCTCTCCAGTTTCACCTGGTTTATCTGCACACAAAGGTGGGACCACTGGGTCCACCAGCTGCAGCCTCATGCGCCCCGTTCCACAATCTGCCGCCTCACTGGGTCCTCCAGCTGCCGCCTTGCCACGAGTCCTCTCTGCCCAATTGCCTGTCTCTTCTCCTCCTACAGGTCTGGGTGAATGTTTTTTCTCTAACTCCTTGGTTGTCGGACTTCCATACAGTTCGATTTTCTGTCAGTTCTTGTTGTTTTTTGTTTTTAAATTGTTGTTGTCCTTTTGGTTGTGTGAGGAGGCACAGTGTGTCTATCTATGCCTCCATCTTGGCCAGAAGTCCGAATTTTTAATTTAAATTAGGCAAAACTGCTTGTTCACTAATAAAGTGTTAAAATAAAATTTTAAAAAACAGCAGAGAAACAGAAAGGAAAACCCAAAGAAGGGTAGAGCTGGTAGGCCCTCACACCCCACCTAATTTAATGCACTGGGTCACTGAGGTCTAAAGGGAGGTACAACTTGCCCCAGCTCTCGGCTTCTCCTTACCCTCTGAAATGGTCACCGTAAAGCCCACTATCTGTGCATTTGTTTTTCAGGTAATATCTGCCGGCACTTGCTGCCCCTGATTCAGTGCCCCACCTTGATTGTGCATGGTGAAAAGGATCCTCTAGTCCCACGTTTTCATGCTGACTTCATACACAAACACGTGAGCGGGTCACAGTAAGTCCAGTCTCCGTTCCATCATTCTGTGCCTCTACGGCTTCTGAAGAAAATGGGAGAAGCTATAATAACAAAAAGAATGATGAAGGTTGAGATCTTTTAAAGTGGACCCCGACTCCCATTTTGCCAATGACAATAAGCAGTACCACTGTATATAGGGTCCAGAGACATAGGGAACAAAAGGAGCCCTGATTTGTGGGTAACCAGTAATCACAAGGAAGGGGATTCTCAGGTAAATATCTCTTGTTGTTGCTGTGAACTATGCTAATACATACTAAGTTCTGTGACACTGGTGACAGGTTAAGATTCATAGGAATCATTGTTAACTAAAACAATTTTGTATAATTTGGGAATTTTAACACTATTATTACAAAACCACTCCCTTTCTAATAAGGAAAATCTGTAAAATCAAAAGAAGAAAATAATAGCCTTTTGCTGGCCAATCATTTAAATTCTTTTATTACTAGCATTTTTGTGTTTCTTTTTTTAATATAAAAATAATCACATTCTGTATTCAACTCTGATGCTGCTTTTTTCCACTGAAAATTATATTCTAAATTTTTTGTGTTATTTTAGCCTTAAATTTGTACATATCAGATGATTAAATTATTATGCAGAATTATAAAACCAACATATACCAAACCATGTTGGTGGCTCACTTGATTAAATAGTAGATACATGTTGCTTATTCTTTGCATTTTTGTTTCTGCCAGCCAGCTTTGGGTATCACCAAAACTTATGTGTCAGCAAAATTTTTATTTTTCATTTCCATACATTTTTGTATGGAGAACAGAAATTTATATTTTAAATATTTTGGCTGACACAAGAGCAAGCTTTTGCCAATTCAAATATATAGCCAGCTGTATCAAGATGAAAATTCAAAGTTGAATAAATTCAGTATCTCCCTCACATGCAAGGGATGCATATCCTGAAAGAGAAAATGAGGTGTGAGTGGAAGACAGTGACCTCAGTTTTTATCAATTATACTGGAAAATAAAGACCCAGGTGAGCCTTGACCCCTTCAAAGACTATGTATTAATTTCAGAGATACTGTCATTACTCAGGACATCTTTGCTATGGAATTCTTTTGAAATTGACCTTTATTAGCAGCCTAAGAAAATCCTTCCTCCCTCACTCTCTCCTCTTTACCTCACTCCTTCCATTCCTTCCCCTCTCTCTTTCTCTCTCCCTCTTCCTCTCTCCTTTCCTTCCATGAGCCAATTTATGATGCCTGCTGTGGGCCAGCACTGCCCTGAGAGCTCCCAGAGTGCAGCTGGGAAAGCAGATGCAGAAACAGTCCACTACTTCCTAATGATACTATTCCATGTTGTGTTTCTTAGAAAATATTCAAGTATGGGGAGCATGCTTCTTATTCTATAGTAAGATATTAGTATCATAAATCTATATAATTTCTATCTTTATATAGCATTTTATATTTTAAAAGGCATTTTACATACAAAATCTAATTATACTTTACAGCTATGAAAAACAAATATTTCTTATGAAAAAGAAATATTGTCCCCATTTTATAGATGAGAATATAAAGACTGATGCTAAGTAATTGCCCAGTGTTGCATAACCTGTTAAAGACAAATCCTAGGTTTTTTCCCTCCTATTTCAGTGCTTTTCCCCTACAGCACAGCTGTCTCTCATAAATATATTCTTATTTTAATATGATGGTAAGATGTCTGCATTACATACTTGCTGATCTGGTTAATTGTTTTCTAGCATCAGAAATGACAAATTTTTGTATACTGACTCTCACAGTAAAGACATGTGTTCCCTTGGAGAGCCAGGTTCAATAAAAGTCAGTCTGCAAGAAAGTTTAATGTAAGAATTCTCTTTCAAACCCATCTCCTAACAACAGAATACATCAACATGGTAGAAAAATATTCCCTCACTGTTTAGATGTTAATGTTTCAGTGGGCTATTTTATGGAAGGTCATTTTCTTAGAGCAGTATTCTTTGGAACAAATCAGTTGAAGGTAAAGTGTTATGAGCAGTGATTGTCTAAAACTGGTTTGCATTTTACACCTACCACCTTCCTCTCCTACAACAGCCCTTTATGTTTGACATGAATTTACCTAAAACAGGTGTGGTTTATTGTGAACCCAACAAAAGGAACTTGGATTCCTTAAGCACCAAAGTCATACTGTGACTCGGTACACCATGCCCCTTGTCAACATGGCACAGCGGTTCTCGGTGTAGCAAGCTCCAGTGAGCTCAGTGTTTTACTACCTTGCAAGGTACGTTTATCACTAAAGTTTAAGCCAGTCTGTCCCACAAAGATTTTACCAACAAATAGCATATATGAAGCCAATGCCTTTCTGTCCTCAGAAGGAGGCTAATGAAGGGTGGGGTTGTTCAGCAGGCCTGCTTCCTGCTCATGTTAATTTGTCTCTGGTTTCTCTCTGTGGGAGAAGAATGATGGAGTCTCTTGGAAGCAAAGAGGCATTAGAGATCATTCAAGTTTACTATTTTAAAATTTATTTTTAGGCAATTGAACCCTTTCTCCTAACAAACTCTTGCAAAGTAAGAGCTGTTCTTATTACAACAGTGATAGGGAACAGACCTTGCCCCTTAGTGGCTCCTTGTCCTGTCCCAACCCCTGTGTGTCCCCTGCTTGTCCAGCCCGCCTTCTGAGATGGAAAAGCACTGACATCACTCACCACCTGTCTAGCTAGTCAGCCTCTGCTCAGGTGTCTCCTTTTATGAGACATGCATCACCCATGAGGCCAGCCCCAGCTTGTTTTCAGAGAATTTGCATTGAGCAGAGGTTGGCACACGTCAGACTCTTTGGAGGTAGGGTGGATGGGCTCCGGGAAGCAGTGGGACTCGGACATCTCAGAGGAGTTTATGACTGCATAGCTTGTTGAACCGCGTGTCTGCTCGTTATGTGCATTAGTCTGCAAGGGCTGCTATAATGAATACCAGAGACTGGGAGGCTAAATAATATGTTTATTTTCTCACAGTTCTGAAGGCTAGAAGTCTGAGATGAAGGTGTCTGCAGGGTTGATTTCCTCTGAGGCCTTTCTCCTTGGCTCGCAGACAGCTGTCTTCTCCCTGTGTCCTCACACGGTTTTCCATCTCTGTGTCTATGTCCTAATCTCCTCTTCTTATAAGGACACCAATCATATTAGGGTGGTCCCTAACATCCTCATTTTAACCTAATTACCTATTTTTTAAAAATCCTCACCCAAGGACAAAGACCTTTTTTTCATTGCTTTTTTAGAGAGAGAGGAAGACAGAGAATAACATCCACACAGAGAGAAGCATTGATTGGTTGCCTTCCATATGTGCCCTGACCAGGAATCAAATGTATAACCTTTCAGTTATGGGACGGTGCTCCAACCGAACCACACCAGACAGGGCAACTTAATCAACTTAATTATCTCTCTAAAGACCTATATCCAAATCAGGTCACACTCTGAAGTACTGTGGGTTAGGACTTCAACATACAAATTTTGGGAGGATGCAGTTCATCCCATGATAGTATGTTTCTAAGGAGATGCTCAGATGTCAGGACTTATAGGCCCAACAGAGGTCAGGGTCTGGATCTGAGACCCAGCTGCAAATGACCAGCGCCCTACCTGGAATCCTCTACCCCCACCTCCTTTGGTTGCCTGGCCAAGTGTAGTCATCCTTCAGAATGAAACTCAGATGTCTTCTCCTCCTCCACTTTCTCCTCCTTCTCCAATTACTTATCTATCTGAAGCCACACTGCTCCTTATTTATACCCCTTTACAGCTGTTAGCATGTGAATTTAGTGTTCCTCCTGTTGAGCATGTCAGTACCTTTCCCAAGATGTATTGTCGTACCTGCCGAAAGAAAGAGAATGTGAGAGCAAAAGAGGCACATGGGACCAAGCCTCTGTGGATGGCCAGGGATTACTGACTGGTGACTCCAGGCCAAAAACTATGGTCCAACTTCATGTTCTGGGTTTGGGGCCAGAGAGCCAGACCAGCTGGGAAAGAATGAGGGATAACACCCATGTGCACATAGTGGCACCTGGGGCCAATGTCACCCAAAGGGGAGGTGGGAAATGGGGTCTCGCCTGGGCAGCAGAATCGGTATTTTGGGATCCTGAGCAACATTCACAGCAGTGGTGGTGAAGAGCACCAGCAGCATTCAGGTGGGTTTGGATGCTGGCTCAGTCACTCATTTAGGCAGTGAGTATATATTTCCATGCCCCTGTTTCCTTGTCTGTAAAATGTGGGTGATAGTATCTACCATTCAAAATATTTTTTGAGGGATGAGTACATATTTGCACATTTAACACGTAAAACTCAGCACACAGTAGCTGCCAGTTCTGTGGATAGAATGCTGGCATGAGTGCAGGTGATCAGAGGCCCAGGAGACAACCAGGATATAGCTTGATAGGTTAGAGGCAAGTTGTCCTCCGTCCCAGTGTTCAGCATTAGTATAGGAGTATGGGTGTATTTGTTAGTCAGGGTTCTCCAGAGAAACAGAACCAATAGGACACACACACACACATACACACACATAGGTTTATTTTCTATAAGGAATAAGGAATTGTTCACACAGTTATGAAGGCTGAGAAGTACAAGATCTTTGGTTGGCAAGCTGGAGCAGAGTCAGGAAGGTGGAGACCCAGGACAGATGAGGCACAGCTGCAGTCTAATTCTGAATGCCCGGGAACCAGGAAGAGCCGACATTTCAGTTTGAGTCTGAAGGTATGAAAAAGCTCATATCCTTGTTTGGAGGCAGTCAGGCAGAAACCTACTTTGGTTTTCAATTAAAACAAAAATGCTCACAGACTTACTGGAAATTCTGTGGGTTCATAACTAATTTAGAGTATTATCATATCCCAAGTGGAGAAAGAAGCTGCAGCACATAATTTATGGCCTTGTTCATATCTGTAGCCCTCAGAGCTTAATTCAAAAACTGTGGAAGGGTCAACTGAGGAAGGGATGCTAACATCATTTCTCCTTTGCTACCTGAGATGTAAAGAGTGAGATCCTAGAAGGACTGTATCAAGAAGTAAACTGACCACTGGATTTATACTGTGAGGCTAGATATTTTAATTCCTCAAAAGATCTAGAATCACATCTTTTTCTAAAAGTGCCAAATGCGACAAGGAACCTGCATTGGCAAATAGGAACTTCTGTTTACCATCTTGATGCCCCTTAATTTCCAGTTGTTCTCCTGGGAAATGTGCTTGTTTGCAAAACATTCTCCATGGATCATATGATTAGATCCCTTTGTTACCTGGGTGAGAATCTTGGTCAGCAGTAGAGTTGCTACATCACCTTCACAGCCTATATATTTACTCCTGTCTAGTGTGGTACTTTGCCAAAGAGGAACACACATAGGCTTTAAGTATAGTGAGTCTTGTGTTAGACCTAAAGGAGGATGTATTAAAGAACTTGAAATGATCCCCAAAAAGTAACAAGGAGAAGAGCAACTTTCTTTATACTCATCCATCTGTTCATCCACCCATAATTCAGTGTAGGTCCAAATGGAGATGACTCAGAACAGATCTCCCATATTTTTAATGAAAGGGACCTCATTTTTATTTCCCTAAGACCAAGAGATTACTATAGTAAGAATGCAGACAGAAAAGGCTAAAAAGAAGGGATTCACTGCTGGTGTTTCTCCTTCCTTATTAGGGATTTGCATGAATCATAGAAATGAGGCCTACCTCATGTGATAAGCGGCATGGCTATCCACAAAGGAGGACTTACAAGTTGGGCAGATTGGGGTCTCTGCTTAGGAATCCAGTTTAGTACACATTAGAAGATGCAGTTTGGCCTAGACATGCCCTTCTGTGACCTTTTAGCATCCTTGGCAGTTGGTTCTGTCTCCTAAAAACGAGGCCTTGAGCATCCCTGCAAGCCCTGTTTCTTGTGTAGGGCAACTGGGAGCCTATCTTTGGGGTTGATGTGGGTTGCCATACTTTTCTGAAGAGCATTAAAACTGAATTTGGAACATTCTGGTTACTATAAATGGCATTAACTTTCCTGAGAGCCTGAGAAAGATGCCAATATAGCCCATCCTCCTTTCAAGTAAATGATCTTGATTATCTGGGTACCTCCACCCCACACCCATGTGATTGGGCTGCAAGGACAGCTCGGTTCCCAGGGCCCTTTCCCAGGTTCTCCCCAGCACTGAGAGCTCTCAGACCCCAGGTGCTGAAAAACCAGAGAATTAGGCAATGCAGTAATTGGCATTTTGCCCTAGTATAGTCCTTGTAATGTCCAATTCTCATTGTGGACAAGACAGCTCAAGCTCACACTTATATCCTAGAAGCTTTAATTGTGCTTTTGTAACCAATAAATAAAACATACAACTCAGAGAAGGCTGCCTTTATTAAAGAAATTGCCAACCAGCCACATTTGACCACAACCCTATAGCGAGGAAGAATCCTTATGACAGTAAGGTTTGTCACAGACATGTAGTGACAGCTGGAGGAGACTTGCTGATGCAGGCTGCCACCACCCACACAGTCCTAAGGAACACTTACTCACCCTTTGTCTAGAGGTTTATATTTAGTTGCTCAACTCTCCAAAAATGACAGGGTGATTTTGAACCTTGAACAAGGGTCTGGTGGTGGCTGGACTGATTTGGGTTTTTCCACTACAGAGATGCCCCAAGAAACCCACCTGTTCTAACCCAGTGGATTCTGGACATTTTCTATTTTATTGTCTCTCCAACCTTCTTTTAAAAAATCAACCTTATTAAAATGAATTTTTTTTAGCTAACCACCAAATCATATGTCATGTGCCCCACTCTCAAGCATGTTCAGTTAAACCATTTGTTACATGATACAGTTCCAAATACAGTGTGTGCTGGTCCCGTCAGGTTAACCTCCAGGTTAGTCATAAACTCCAAGAGGCTTTTACTCTTTAATATTCTGGAAAGGTTATACTATGTACCTTACATTTTCTCCCCAAAAGTGGTCATCCAAAAAATGTGGCAGGTTTTTACTTTAGATTTTCATGTTATGTTAGGGAGGGTAGGAGGTTTTAACTGGTATGCCATTAATCATAAGCTTTTTCTTTTTAGGTTGCATCTGATGCCAGAAGGCAAACACAATCTCCACTTACATTTTGCAGATGAATTCAACAAGTTGGCAGAACACTTCTTACAATGAACATGTGACCTGGTGATTCCTTAGCAAGAGGCTTCATCTGCCTGTTGCGGCCTCTGGAACCCACCCCCACATCACACCCCAGTTCACCTTCCCTCTAGGCTTTCTGTTCCTCCCCACAACTGCTGTTAATCCAATAGGAAAAATAACATTAAAAACATCCTCTAATAGCTACAAAAATTAAGTCTGACTTTTTAACATTAAGTTTGGATCTCTACCATTGTCTTAAAACATAAATTCCTTATGGTGATTTATTTATTTGCAAATAAATGTTAGAGGAGCACTTGAGCTCCTGGCTGCTATTTTGGGGTGCTGTGAACCCATGCTGTGCCTTCTGAAAGGTGCAAGCACTCTCTTGTCTCTGTAGTCGTGTCATTGTACAAAGCCAGAAAAGAAACACAAGAAAATCCTTGCCTAAGGTCCTCAATTCTAGATTTTTACCGGATCTATAACTCCAGCAAAGGGAAGAAGGTTGACTTTACCTCAAATCTATTCACTTCCTTACCTTTGCTGGATTCCTTAACTTTCATATTTTGGACCAGTGAAAATGAAAAAATTATTTATCTCTTTATTAATAGAACTATTAATTAAACATTAAGTACATGATAACAACATGATTTGACTTTGGGTGGTGGACACAATGCAATATATAGATCATGTGTCATAAAATGTACACTTGAAACCTATGTGACCCCATTAACCAATGTCACCCAAATTTAATTAAAATTTTAAAAAAGTAGAAATTCTATTTTGTTATGATTAGTAAACCCATAATCATATTCAAGAAGTATCTAGTGAAAGAAAAAAAAGAAAGAAACCAGAAGATTTTAGACACATGCTTTATAATTAGTATGGATATCTTAGAATTTCTGACAGAGGCAAAACTGAGCACCATAGTATACAAATAGAAAAACCATGCTTGATTGAGGACAAAAGAAATTCACTAACAATGCACGATGTATTTAAGAAGTTCTTAAGCCTCATCCTCGCCTTCCTCCTCCTCGAACTCCCCCTGTTCGTCGGCCGTGGCATCCTGGTACTGCTGGTACTCAGACACCAGGTCGTTCATGTTGCTCTCGGCCTCCGTGAACTCCATCTCATCCATGCCCTCGCCCGTGTACCAGTGCAGGAAGGCCTTGCGCCGGAACATGGCCGTGAACTGCTCCGAGATGCGCTTGAACAGCTCCTGGATGGCCGTGCTGTTGCCGATGAAGGTGGCCGACATCTTCAGGCCCCGAGGAGGGATGTCGCACACGGCCGTCTTCACATTGTTGGGGATCCACTCCACGAAGTAGCTGCTGTTCTTGTTCTGCACGTTGAGCATCTGCTCGTCCCACCTCCTTCATGGACATGCGGCCCCCGGAAGATAGCGGCCACCGTCAGGTAGCGGCCGTGGCGGGGTCGCAGGCAGCCATCATGTTCTTGGAGTCGAACATCTGCTGGGTGAGCTCAGGCACTGTCAGGGCCCGGTACTGCTGGCTACCCCGGCTGGTCAGGGGGGGCGAGCCGGGCATGAAGAAGTGCAGGCGGGGGAAGGGCACCATGTTGACAGCCAGCTTGCGCAGGTCTGCGTTCAGCTGGCCTGGGAAGCGCAGGCAGGTGGTGACACCGCTCATGGTGGCTGACACCAGGTGGTTGAGGTCTCCATATGTGGGGGTGGTCAGTTTCAGGGTGCGGAAGCAGATGTCATACAGGGCCTCGTTGTCAATGGAATAGGTTTCATCTGTGTTTTCCACCAGCTGGTGGACAGACAGGGTGGCGTTATAGGGCTCCACCACCGTGTCAGACACCTTAGGTGAGGGCATCACACTGAAGGTGTTCATGATGCGGTCTGGATACTCCTCCCGGATCTTGCTGATGAGCAGGGTGCCCATCCCCGAGCCTGTGCCACCCCCCAGCGAGTGGGTCAGCTGGAAGCCCTGCAGACAGTCACAGCTTTCTGACTCCTTCCTCACCACGTCCAGGACCGAGTCTACCAGTTCAGCACCCTCTGTGTAGTGGCCCTTTGCCCAGTTGTTCCCGGCCCCGCTCTGGCCTGCCAGAGGGAAAGGAGAATACTAGACACTAAAACGTAAGGAATTTCAAGTTGTTACTGTGACACTGTGCTAGTCTTAGAGTAGCAAGTTCTTCCCTTTTAGATACCTTTTATAGCCTACAGAAAATTTTTCTTTATCAGTGACACTCAAAAACACTAGAGATCATAATAGAACAAGTTTAGATCAAAGGAGGTTGTTAATGGAACAAAACAATATTCTTAAGAACAGAATATCCTACTGGGTTGGCCAAAAAGTCCTGCTATGTTTTTTCCATACAATGGCTATAGTAGCACTTAGTTGTCTTTAACTTCATTCAAAACAATTTTGTTAGGTTGTATTGTGACAGCTGTCACATCAGCATGCATTAAAAAATTATCAAAATTGGTGAATTTTTGTGCAGCCATTTTAATATTGAAGATGGAAGATATGCAACATTTTCAGCATGTTATGCTTTATTGTCTCAAGAAAGGTAAAAATGCAATGGAAACAAAAAAAGGTTTGTGCAGTGTATGGAGAAGGTGCTGTGACTGAACATGTCAAAAGTGATTTGTGAAGTTTCTTGGTACTATTCTGGCCAAATAATTCTTTGCTGTGGGCTATATTGTACATTGGAAGATGTTCAGCAATGCCCCTGGCTTCTACCCACTAGAAGCCGATAGCAGGAGATAGCCGACATATTCAAAATATGCAAATCAATAAAAGTATTGGTGAAAATAAAAAATGTGTCTTTTATTTTAAAGATAAAACAAAATGAACTTTTTGGCCAATTCAAAGAAAAGGTAAATTCGGTCCCATTAACAGGCAAGGGCAAAGGCGCAATGAGATAAGACACGTGACTACTGGTCACAACCTGTGCCTTTGCCTTTTCTGCTTGAAGGGGCCACCTGTTGCCAAAGATGCTCTGAAATTACCAGTAGCCTATTGACTCCTGTTTGAAGCTTTTTCATTGCCCTTTGTTCTTTACCCTTCACAGGCTGCTCTGTAGTGGGAAGCCTACAAGCAGACCTCTGCAGCCTGACACTGTCCTTTGCTGAGCTGTCCAGAGAGTTCCACCCCTGGGCTAGGTGGAATTAGGCCATGACTCATGGCTACCTGTGGACACGTAGTGTCCACCTGGACAGTCAACACTAAAAACTGTGATTTCCACAGTGTTTAGGAAGAGGAAGACTCATTGAGCCAGTTCCCATTGCTCAGGACTACATACCAAACACGAAGTTGTCGGGCCTGAAGATCTGGCCAAATGGTCCAGACCTGACCGAGTCCATGGTGCCTGGCTCCAGATCCACCAGGATGGCCCGAGGTACATACTTGTTACCTACAGGAAAGAAGATCTGGATTTAGACCTCCGGTTGACAAAGGAATCAGACAACAGAATGTTCTACGCACCTTTCACAGCAGAATTCATCTGGGAAAATTCCCACATGTGAGACAAAAGTACAAGAACAGGGGACTGTTTCTACTTTTAAAAAAGAGCCCTGGCTCTGGTGTGGCTCAGTATACTGAGCACTGGCCTGTGAACCAAAGGGTCGCCAGTTTGATTCCCAGTCAGGGCACATGCCTGGGTTGCAGGCCAGGTCCCCAGTAGGGGGCACATGAGAGGCAACCACACACTGATGTTTCTCTTCCTCCCTTCCCTCTAAGAATAAATAAATAAAATCTTTAAAAAAGGGGGTGGGTGGTCATGCTTAGTCATGGCAAACATGCATGAATCTTAAGGAACTATTAGCAGTTGATATTTAAAATGAATGCAAGCAGCATTTCTTTGTCATTTGTATGTTCCTAGCACATTGCATCTGTCCACAGTATGGAAAGCAAGGTTGACAGAAAAGCAGAAAACATTCAAGTAATCACCAGCAGCTTCATTGTAGTACACGTTGATTCTCTCCAGCTGCAAGTCACTGTCTCCATGGTAACTGCCAGTGGGGTCGATCCCATGCTCATCACTGATGACCTCCCAAAACTGGAAATTTTAAAATATGTATATCACATGATGGTATGGCATCATAAATATCAGTAAGAGTGGCCCTTTTCTTCCTCTCATGTCCTTGGAGTGGTGGCCACTGTGATCAGATGGTTAAGGGAGTCCTAGAGAGACCAGGTAGCTGTGCATCCATGTTCCTCCAGCAGAGGCTGCTGAGGGGCTTGGAAACCAGCAGAACACCAGCCATATTATGGCGACAGCCTGAAAAGCTGGGAGGGGCACTGCAGGAGGAGAGTGGGCACAGCAGATCTTCTGGGGCAGCTGTGGAGGCTGTCACCCCCCAGGCAGGGCTACTGTCCCAATGTCCCAGCATCACAGCATCTCACTATGCCAGCTGGTGGATGGGTCCTGGCAGGACCCAGATCCAGTTGGATCCCACCCTGTGGCTGCCTTACAGGAAGCAATGTCTCCTGGCACAAATCCCACCCAGCTCTCCAAGCAGTGCAGTGTATGCCACTAACATCCATATTGGCCTCTGGCCATTGAGCTTAGTGAGCCATGGGTGGGGAAGGGCAGGAGGGAGTCTGGGAGCATGACTGGGGGCAGTGAACAGAGCTGGCCTTGGAGAGGGCACAGGCTCCATTGTGAATCCGCAGCAGGAAGGGGGCGGGGAGGTTGGGGTGGGCAATATGGCGGTGCTGACAGAGACCTCGTCCTTTTTCAGACCTTGCCCACACCCATGCACCATGCCCGCTCTGGCCTGGCCCAGTGCTGTGGGTAATTGCATCCCAGATACAGTCAGTCACCTGCCGCCTGGGAGACAGGAAGCCAGACTGGCATTAAATATTATCATGTCTAGATGGTGCTAGTACTAGGGAAATTATCTAACATTCTCGTCTTTATATCCCAACGAGTAGTCTCTATAACATCTGTCACCTCAATGACACTGCATGTTTTTTCATTCAAACTCTGAGGGGAAAATGTCCAAATTAAGTTCTACATGAAGCCACTGGATTAATATGGACGAAGCGTCTGTCCAAATTTCAGAGGCTAATACACTCAGAGAAATGCCAACTACATGCAGCTGAGGGGTCGGTTACGAGAAAATTTCAAAGGGCCTTGATTAAAGGAACATACAGCTGCCTCGCCTGGCGTATCGCAGCAGGTGGTGTGGCTTCCTGGCCCCGCAGGGGGCTGCGCCGAAAATGCGCCACTGGGGCAGGGAGCCGCCGCCTTTGCCTCCCCCCCACTTCCCGGCCCCGGCCGCACCCTCAGGAACCGCTGCGCCCCACCCTCGCCCAGCTGGCACCCTTGGGGCCCGCTGCACCTCCAGCCCCGGCCCACACCTTCCGGGCCCACCGCCCACTCCCGGCCCCTTCTGTCGGGGCGCGCCCACCTTGGCGCCAATCTGGTTGCCGCACTGGCCCGCCTGGATGTGCACGATCTCGCGCATGGT